GCTCTTCCCCTGCATCCTGTATCTGTCCCATACCCTGATGCGCTGACCACCTCCCTCCCGAAGGTGCTCTGGAGCTGGCTTCCCGGGCCAGGTGTCACCCCTGGCCGGTGGGGCTGAGGCTCTCCTGGGACAGCCGGCCCTTCATCCGAGCCCATAATCTCTGTTCCCTCATCATCTGCCTTTGGGCTTCTGCTCCTCTGGGCGTGTGGGCATGGACCTGGGATGGGCTGGTGGCTCCTGGGATGCACTTGGGAGTAGCTTGGCAGGACGTGATTCGGGCTTCCCTTCCATTGTGGGAGTGCAGAGGAGCTTTCTGTCAGATACCCGAACAGCTTGTATTATAAACTGTATCAAGATCGAGATAGTTAAATTTATCTAATTTTTTTGCCTTTGTACAGCAGGCATTAATTTTGATACTGGGGGTTTTCTGAGTTTTTAATACGTTAAGAAGTCTCAACCTTTTTGTGAAGGGATTATCTCACTGAAAAAAATCTGTCCTGCTTTCCTTTTGCAATTCAGTTTGCCCACAGAAGTCTAATTTGTCATCCATAAAATAAATATACTTTGTCAGAGAATATATTTGTCCTGTTACTAATGCACTGGATTTATTTCTGGTATTATAGATTGCCTCTATATTGCCAGAATACTTTCCAATTTGACTTTTGGTCTCCAGTGAGCAAAAGAAATGGCTTTTTCTGATACCTGCTTTGCTATCAGAAATTAAATTTTCTGTATGGGCGGTCATAAAAGCTAAGGCCAATGAATTGGTGGTTGATAATAATTATTTTTTCAGGTGAGGTATATTGGCAGGCAGACAATGGATCTGTAGCAACTTGAAGGTGACGGAGGGAGCCAGTTTCTTTAAAAATGTATCCTTAGAGATTGATAAAGTGAAATGCAGTTGTGTAAGTTCTGATTTATCAAACAATGTAATGTTTCTGCAAGATTATTTCCTTTCACCTTTCTGTATTTTTGTTGTTTTGGGAGTTGCTGATTGTCTTCAAATTTTTTTTTTCTTCTTAGTAAAACGCTTTAGAGAACCAAAGCACGAAAGACGTCCCTGGAGGATATGGTATGTTTCTGCATGTTTGATTCTTAAATTTTTGTTTCTTGTGTGTTTTAGAAATTGAAGGAATGATTGTTTGTATGTGATGATTTTTTTTTAAAAAAAAGTGATGACAAAAAATTGGTGACTGACAGTGAGGAACAAAAAAAAGTTACCAAAATATACGAGTCAACAAAAAGTTATTTTCTGTGTGTTTCCCTGCTAGTTCTTCCTTACTAAACGCTTCTAGGAATCTCTAGAAAGATGTGCATTTAGATGTAAGGCTTCAAGTTGTGCTTCCTCCTGAAGGTGGAAACTTACAGGAGCCCTACAATGCATCTGAAGATCTGCAAACTTACACAAGCTTACAAGAAGCTCTCAGCTGGACTTAAACAGAATTCCATGTTCTGTAGCCATCCTAGTATGGATAAGATAGAAAACAGTGTGGTAAAAGATATAAATACATAAGCCATAAAAGGATACAAAGTATAAAAAGTATATTTGTTTTTATTACTTTCTAGAAGTTGTTGGATTGTAGTCATGCCAACGTAACCTGTACAAGCTTTGAGACTGGTGTAAATGTTATGCTGTCGTTCCAGTTGTTAAAGACTTCAGTGGTTTAAATTCATCTCATACAATGCTGCTTTTCATAACTAATCCTGACCTTTATTTTATTGAAAAAATAAGTACAAAATCTCCATGTACTACAGTCTGCCTCAGCCTGAAATTCTGAGTAGTGTGATGAGAGCCCTTAATCTGTAAGCAAAGAATCTTGTTGTGGGACTTGAGTATTGTTATTTCAGGTATGGTGTACTGATTAGATAAGTAACTCGCTGGCTTCCTGCCTCAGCTCCAACACTCTTGCTTTCTACGTCGTGCAATGAATGCAAGAGAATAAAGTTTAAGACCAAATTGTCAGTGAGGGGAGTTGGATTCGGGCATAAAACGTTGTTTGGATCTGTTGGAGTGTTTGGATCTTTTTGGACATGGAAACGTCAGGCAAAATGGGTGTTGGTCTGTATAAAGAACATGGTTTTGCCTACAGAATACTTGTGACACCATTGCTGTAACATCCACTGGAAGTTTTGGTTTTGTGCACAGGATGATGATAAAAGTATGGTAAGGGCAGGAGTCAATACTGAATCAATACCTAAGTGGGTTTTTTATATTTTCCCTGTAAGTAGCAAGCTACTTTCTCTCTAACTCTGTCATCTGCTTTGGAGATAATGCTTTCAAGGTTGTAATTCTTTTGCAGTGTGGTCTAAGCTGTTGTACTACAGATAAAATTCAGTGAGACCTCTTCATGCTTTCAAGTGAAAAATATGTTGGCTTTTTAGCAGAATAGTATAGATAAAGGAATCATTAGCCAGCTGTTGTTCACCAACAAGCACATGATGAGGATTTTATTTTTGTCTCTGCCATAAACTTGCTAAAAATGCATGAACATAAAAGGACTGAATATCTAGCGAGGCTGGGATACTTCTTGTTTACAGGCGGTTATTAAAGACTTAGCTAGGTTTAGTGAGGATTAGCTCTTGGATAATGCGTATGATACCAAGAGGATATCCCTAGACTTCAAATCTACAGTGGTAAGGTTTCAAGTTAGTATGATGTGGTTTATTGTTAGCAGTACTGAAGAAAAAAGGGGGCAGAACTTGATGGAATTTTAATTAAAATAAATTTGTCATGTTGGACTGTGTTGTAAAGTTTTATGTATCTTAAAAACTGTTCTTACTCTATGCAGGTTTTTAGATACTTCCAAGCAAGCCATAGGGATGTTGTTCATCCACTTCGCAAATGTCTATTTATCAGACCTTACAGAAGAAGACCCCTGTTCACTGTGAGTGTTTAATTTCAGAATCATTGGTCTTCATGGAAGTTCTGCAGTTGTTTGTTGCATGTGGACAGTAATGTAAGATAGACCTGAGAAACCAATTTTCATGGTAAAAATCAATCACTTTCAAAAAACTGTGGTTTAAGATTAGTTAATCAAGGATTAGAGTTCTGCTCTTTTAGTTCATGGCTGGCAGGACCTGGGAAAGCTTTTTCTGGGCTGCATATAGATCTTTTAGACTGAGGGTAAACTCTTGCTACTTCTCTCTCTCCAGTTAACGAATGAGGACTCAGGATGCACATTGTAATATGAAGCTGTTTACTGAAGGAGGTGCTAGGGACCAAAGGAAAGGAATATAAAATTGTGTACACTGACCTTCCAACTGCACTCTGCACTGCAGCAAGGCTTTAATATTAAGTCAGGTTGCATCAGGAATATTTAACAAAAAAATCATTCGTGCTTGTATTTTCTTCTAAAACCTACATTAGCCACTGCAGTATTATTTTCATTTTGTTAAAAGCAGGAAATCTTGCTTGGTATCCAGGCAGTTAGTACAAAAATTAATTTTGCAATGTCACACTTGGAGCAGTGTGACTAAATAGGTAAGCATTTCGCTGTAGTGTATTAAACCTGAAGATTTTATGACTAAGACCCCGTCAGGTTCTTTACAGGAGCTCCTGAAGCAAATGGTAATTGTTTGGGTTTGTTCTTGATAGAGTTCATGCTCAAAGAAGCTTACATATTCCTGGTAACAGAAGCTGTGAAATTACTTTTAAAAGCCTAGTAATTTGCCCTTTAAAACCAATCCAGTTCCTTCAGTGGCGTCTGCTCACTGTTGTCCTTTGGTAAGCAAAGGAGCTACACAGCTCAAGGAATATATTTGTGTTGCTTCACAAGCCTGCTGTATTTCCCTTATTCCTCCTCGGTTTCTTTTCTGTTCCTACATGCTATAAATGTGCAAATAAAACACTGCTTTTCTCTTCCCACCACAAAGCATTTTGGTAGGGAAAATGCATTGATTTCAGCATGCTAACTGTAAAGTTTGTTATAATTACAACAGTTTCAATAATACCAGACACCACTGTAGGATATTCCTTGCTTACTGATTTAAGAATTTCCTGATCGATTTAAAAACTGGCATGTACAAATTGCTTTCATTCCATTTTTAGACATTAAAGTATATATTCAAAGCATGTTTAAAATTGTCAGTGTTTAAAGCTACAGTTCAATAGTTTATTTCAATGTTTTAAAATTAAAAATAACTGTGCTGTGTACTGAGTTTTTGAAATAGAAGCTTTGCTAAACTGTGCGTTCTCTTCTACATGTTTTAGTATGGTCTACATAACTTTTTTCAAATACCACTTTTCATGTAAGTGTAACGTGACACAAAACAAGACGGTGAGGTAGAGAACTGTTATTCACTGTTCTCTGGATAACAAAAATTACAATGTGGAGATGTATAATTTCTCAGACAGAGGTGCAGGTCCTCCTTGTTAGCAGAAAAAATAGCATGTTGTGTCAAGCAAAGCCACTTGTCCTTTCTTGGGAAAAATATATCTTTAGTGTGCAAGTGGGTCAAAATTAGCGAGTAAAGGCAAGGTTTCTGTCTGACTTTAATAATAATTTTGCTCAGCAAATACTAACATGGCTAGTTTTCTGTTTCCTGTTTTGTAGATTGTGGGTTATTTTCAGAACAAAACCAGAAAATGTAGTTTTAGAAAACATTGTTCAAAGCTTGGAAAGAACTGCAATGGAAAGTTGCCGTTTATTAGTTTGGGAATGTAGTGCTGTAATTCAGGCAGGTGTGTGATAATATCAAAGCTGATAAAACAGCTGTTAAAACACCTCGACAGATGTCTTGTTGTTCAAAGAATTTTTAATCGAAGAAGCAAACAGCACTCTGCTGCAGTGCAGGGTACTCGGCGGGCTGCGCACAGTACGCCGGGAAGGTTGTAGGAACCCCGCAGCCTTTTACTCGCTGAGCTCTCAGCCAAACGTGCGTATCTGATGGTGGCAGCAGCTGGTTTTGCTGTTTGCAGTGGTTACACGTGAGCAGGGTTGACGCAGCGCATCACAGAACGGGCGTGTTGTCTCCACATAGTGACCCTGACGTGCTTGGGAATGTCGGGCACGCCTGGGCTGCGCAGTGAGCTGGGATTTGGGGTGCAGTAGGGGCTGGCCCATCCCTGCTCCCCACTCCCGGGGCTGCCTGCTGCTGAAGGCTGACACCAGCCTCTGGTGGCCTGCAGACATGGCATGTGAGCTGGGAACTGCTGGGCTCCCTCAGCCAAGCACGAAACCTCGATTTTAATGTTTGTCTAATACAAAGTTCTTTAAAACTCTGATTTGACAGACAACATATTCTGTCTTCGCTTTCCACTTTCTGGTACTATTTGTCCATGTGGATTTGTCTCTGCAGCCAGCAGAAGCCCACACGTCTCCGATTTCCTCTTTTTATCCCTGCAGAGAAGTTCCTGTAGACTCTAGAGTTTACCTTAAGTATGTGGAGTTACCAAATAAGAATCTCAGTAACAGATTTACTATGTCTCTTACAGCTGGCTCTTTCTCAGCTGCTGTTTTGTTCAGCTGAAATCGGTGATAGTAAATAAACCAAACTGACTTACAAAATGCTCTGAATTTCAGCCGCACAATTTAACAATCCTAAGAATTAATTTGAAACCCATAGTAGTCTCTAGTTTCTTGAAGCTAGATCCAAGAAGCTCTTCTTGAAACAGTACGATTAGTAGTGCAGCAGTTGTGAGTCCGCTGAGGAATGGTTTGGGGTTTTTTTTCTGGGAAGGCTTGTTCCTGATTGTTTCAAATGGTTATTGGACAAGAACTGAAGTGCAAGAAAGCAAATATCTGCTCTTCCTAACGCTGTCAGTTGAAATTTGGCCTAGATAGTGACTGTACTCTCTAGGCATGGTATTCCACTGCTCATTGCTCCTTGTTGAGGCTAGGAGGGGACTCCTTTGAGCTAGAAAAACTGTCTAGTTGTGGTCTTTCCCCCTTGGAATGAAGGTGTTTTGGGTTGGTTTTTTACCTTCACATTCCTTGAGGTGTCTTTAAGGTAACTTCCCTTTTTATTCCTTTTGTTCCTTTGGTTTTATTCAAATACAGGTTTTCCGTGTAGAATGAACCGAGTGATGATAAAAAGGAAATCTGGTTTTAACATGAAGGAGCAAAATGAATATTGGAGTTTATGTAGAGTATGCACATGCATGCAACAGAGTTCATGAAAATACAAGTTGGAGCTTGACTTTAAGGACAGAAACGAAATATGGAGACTCTTCCAAAACTATTTAAAATTTAGGCTGTGTAATTACAGAAGTAGATAAATGATTGTTCTCAGTTCTCTGGCTTCTCAACATATTTACAGATCTTTTGTCAATCATGGTGTTAAAATACACTGAACTTGTAGAAAATGGACCCTTGCTCCTTGTTTTCTTTTACGTTTTTCCTTTCAGGTACCTTATCAACTTCTTGTTAGATGCCACATTAGGAATGTTGTTAATCTACATTGGCATACGTGCAGTCAGCAGCATTGTGGAATGGCAGCAGTGGGAGTCCCTTCGCTTTGGTGAATATGGTAAATGTTTCTGTTCTTGCACTGAAATTATTTTCAGGATAGCATCTCAGAATGTTTCAGCTAGTGGTTAACTTATCTTAAAATCATTATACAATGATTATAGTGGTCATTTTAATATTTTACTTGCCATGAGGGTTCTTTAAAGTTCTGTATCTCAGTATGCATCTTCCATGTTAGAAAGCTCAACAAGTCTGTAAGCATTTAGTGAGTTTGGAACAACTGCATAAATATTTATTTTCTTAGGAGTGATTGAACAAATCACAATATTGGCTAATCTCATGGAAAAAATAACAGCATGATAAATTTACTCTGAAACACTTAAATGGTAGCTGGAAAGTCATTTCCTGTTAAAGCTTTCAGTGAACCACATGCTGTTGTCTGAAGATACAGGCTAGAAGTTCTGCCAGCCCTCTTTAAACAACCAGGTACCTTCAGTGAAGGGGATGGTGAGATGACCTGTGCTTAAGTACATGATTTAAGTAATGATCACTCGAACTCCTGTACGTAGGGCTTTTCTCATTGATGAAAAATGCGTATGTCTTTTGTACAGGCTAAGGGGTAGACTTGTGGAATCGCTTTCACGTGAAGTTATGGGTTTTATCTTCCATTACACTAGCCACGGAGATCCACTGGTCTTCAGAAATTGTGGATTTGCAAATGGAGTTCCTTGTCATACATTTAATTCTGTTCAGCCTGTTATTTTCAGATTGCTTAGTCTGGCTGGTTGGGAATGGAAGTTCTTTATAGATGCTAAAAATTACATTTGAAGCTCCCCGAGACAGGAATGGGGAGAGAGGTTGCCTTAGAAGAGAGCTATGGCTCTTCTTCAGAAAGAAAAACAAAAAACCGCCTATGGTGGGGGGGGGGGGGGGATTAGAATAACATTTGCCTAGCAAAGTAAAAGCTTTCATAGCAGTTTCATAATTATCATTGGTAGTTTTTTTGGTTTGTAGGTTTCTGTGGTTTTAATGATCCAAAGTGGCTGACAGAATGAAGAATAAATAAATAAAGGCCTTGCCAAGTTGAAGTACTTTAAAAGCTGGGGAAGTTTACAATTAAATCAGATAGCATTAATTGCTATTTGCTTCAATGCCAGAGGTTTAAAATGGAGATGATGACACGTATCTGTCTTAGGAGAAATAACTGCTTATACCATTAGGGTATTTTTTGTTAGATTTATGTAGATTTAATGTGTATCTTTAAGGGTACAGTTTATGACCATTTAAGCTGTTTAAATCAGCAGTGCCACAACCCTGTTTATCTGCTTTTTTCCCCACGTGCCACAGTCCAGTATTTCTACTCTTTTCCTTGGACTGGCGCACATCTGAGTCTTCAGAGAACTGATTCAGAGAGCTAAACCATCAGAAAATTCACCATATGTAGAAAAATAAATAGTTCCTCCAACTCAGACCCCAGGCTTGGGTCTCTAAGGGATTAGGAAAGCACCAATGCCCAGGGGAGGGAAAAGAGCAAGGAAAGAACTGAGACATTGCCGAGCTACACCTTCTGACTGAGCTTTGAGACCTATTGCCCAAAGTCTCTGTTTCTGATTTTTGGGTTGGCTCAAAGCCATTTAAATATGTTTGAACAGCTTTCAGCCCATATGAAATCGGCTTTCCACTCAGAGCAAAAAAGTTGCTGTATCTGTTGCAATTATAGGTAAGTACTTGTAATCACGTCAAATACTAGATTTTATTTCTTCCTAATAGCATTCTGGTTTTTGTTGTGTAATCTGTTCGCCTGTCTCATTTTAATGTCCTCTTAACAATAAGTGATCTGTGTGGATGGGAAGATGTGGGGAGTATATTCCCTCTCATGAATTTTGTCTCTATCTCTTATTGACTTCCAAAATGAACCTGTTTTTATTTTAATTAGTTATGAGGCATTTGTGACTGGAGTAACTAAGCTCTTAAAATCAACAATTGAACTTGTTACTTGTGTTCTGCTGTGGAGGTGGTCTGCGACTGATCCGTTATTGTCATTTTGAGTTAGGAGGTCTGAAATGCCAAAACTTGTTTATCAGGTATTTCTGCTGTCTGTGTGTGTGTGTCTATAAGTGATCTATGAAATTATATAATTCCTCTTTACTTAGTTGTTCTTTCCAATATCAGATCATTTTGTTAGTGACTAACTTTCTTTCCTGTGTCTTCATTAATGTGCTATCCTGACCTTAGTGTGTTGGGTTTTTAATCAAGCTATCGCAAGGACTATTAAAAAGCATATTGTAAATTGTGTTTCCATTAATCATGTGGGTGAGGCTTCTGGTATAAAGAGGACTAGATAGCAGATGGAAAGGTCTTAGTAATGGCTGTGCAGTAAGGTTAGACCCCATGTAAGAAATCTGTCTAAAAAGCACAAGTCACACTGGATTGTTTGCTGCCCTCTTCTGTTAAGTACTACTGTTGTTTCTGAAGTGAAAACCCTCATATTACCATTTTATTTAATAAAATTTTTCACTTTGGCACCAATAAAAGCTTTGTCTTATTTTCTGTAAGATTCTTTAAAATAATAAAGTAGAGTAGACGAGGTGACAAAAATGCAGTCCTGTGGGGTCACAAGTGTGTTTAGACTTAGTATTTTGAAGTGAAGTATGGCATACATGGATGGTGAGGTGTCTGCTCGTTGAAAGGTGTCAGAGACTTCTGGCATTTTATCTGTTTTATTCTGGCATTTATTAGTAGTAAAGTCAAGTCCTCAGCTTGGAGATCAGCATGATTTCAGTTTGTTTGCAAGTGTGGGAAAACAAGAGCCCCACAACCAAGTCTGTTCTTGTGATTGAGCAATGTTGTTTGTGTTTCTAGAGCCTAAATAATCATTTGTCTCAAGTTAATTCTCACTGTGAGCTCATTTCCCTTCTTAGCTCTATTACTTGATCCCTGGTGATTCATTACTTGAAGCTGTCGCAAAAATAGCAGTGTCCTGCTGGTTTTAAAAGCCACCTCTTTATATGGAGGATAGTTTTTAAGCATAAATGCCTCAAGGAACGAATGGATACCAAAATATCAGCATTCATAAATGGTTGCTGTTTGTACAGCAAAACAGCACTGCACGCTGACTGATGAACAAAGTGGCATGACGTTCCCTCAAGGGCTTTTTTTATGTCAGAATTTTAAGTTTATCAGATTGGTCTTCATATTTCCAGTTTTGTATTTTCAGATTCATTACATCAGCAGCTAGACTTTAATAGAAGTGAAGAATCAGTTAATATATTTGAGTTTGTAAAGAGGAGAAAAGCAGTCGTGATCTGTACTGACAAGAATGTTCCCTGTGTTCTCCTTCCCTTCTTGTCTTGGGCTACTTTAGCTGCTGCAAGTAGAAAACAGGGGACTAAATCCCTCTTTGTGACAATGAACTCTACTGGCAACTAAATCGTGCTGCGATCTCTTTGCTTGTCTTTGCTTCTCAGACGGCAAAGCTTACAAGTTGTATTTCATGCGTCTTTTCCCTCTAGCTCTTTGTTTACAGCTTGCAGAACAACTTACTTCTAGCCATATAGGGTAGATAGCACTTACTTTAAAACTTTTTAAAATTTATTTCGGAGTAGTTCTGTAAGGGGACATTGTCTTAAGAAAATTTCTGAGGATTTGAAGAATAGAGAGAAGTTACAGCATAGAGGAATCGCAGGTATTTTGTTCAAGAGCTGTCTGTGAACATGCTTCTACAAAGCAGCTGATGAAAGTAGTACAGACTAGTACAGACTAGTTTTCATGGCCCAGCATTTTTGAAAAGTGCTGCTGCAGTTGTCACTGCTGAGGATTCAGAATTTTTCAGTTTCAGTCTTAATGCACTGTTCTTGCAGTAACAAGATTTCTACTGATCTGCTAGTTTATTCTAGATATGTAATTTGTACGTGACAGGTATAAAATCAGAATTCAAGAGAGACTGTCAGAGACTTTAGAAATTAAATTAAAGCTTTATGACTTCAACATTAAAGTTCTAATTTGAGTTTATGTACTGAATCTTTGAACATATGAATGTCCCAAATATTCTTGGGAACACCACCTGGATGTGGTGGCGTTGTTAACTTCTGCTGTTTCCCTTGAATTGCATAGTTTATGAAATCGTAGAAGAAATTTAGTAGGAAAGGATCCCCAGAGGTCAGATAATCCAACCCCTTACTCAAAGCAGGGTTAACTTCAAAGCTCAAGTGGGTTGTTCAAGGTATGGTCCAGACCGGGTTTTAGTTTATCCATGGCTTGAGATTTAAGAACCCCTCTGAACAACCTACTCCAGTGCTTAACCACTCTCATTGTGAAAGCTTTTTTTCCCTTTGTCAGAATTGTCCATCCACCTGTCCAGTCTATATCTCCCCAACTTTTCCACAGGGATGCTATGGGGAGACTGTCAGAAGACTTGGTAAACTGGAAGTAGACAGCATCCCTGTTCTCCCCACTTGTAATTAGAGCTGAGAGATAATACCATAGATGCAGTAGGCACACAAAAATCTTCAAGTAGAATTGAATATACACAACTTCTAATTCTAGTCATGTACCAAAAAAAAAAAAACCACCAGCACCCCTCCCCAAAGAACATCATGGAACAAAATGTTCATTGGTGGTAGTGCACAACACTCTTAATACAGAGTTTCACAATTTTTGGACATACAAAATCTCATATGACAGAGTTGGAATAGATGAAGAATTGCTATAGCTGTCATTGCTTTTAGGAATTAAATACAGATTGGAAAAGAGCTTAGAATAAACTGATAAAGTTGAAATGGTAAGTCTGTAGCTAAAGCTAGATTTTTTTTTTCATATTTGCTACTTAATGAAGGAAATTAGAGAATGCTAATAAAAATGTGGAGTATAGAAATTAGTTGCTAAAATTTAATTCTCAAATTTAATTCATGTGTTGTATCTTCAGAAGAGTCACGGTTGCTCAACTTTGAATTATTGATGTTTCCCCTTTTGAGTTTTCAAACTTTTTTTTTTTCTTACAAAGCAGCTATGAACTGCAATATATAATTGTAAAACTTGAGCATTTTAACCATTTTCCTTTTGGACTATGGAGTGTTGATCACCCGATCTTACTGTAAAACTTGTTTCGGAAGTTTTCTTTGTTTTGGACTGCAGTCTGATTTATCAGCATCACTTTGTAGCATTTAAGCAGCAAACAGTAAGTCTCAAGACTATTACCAAATATTAATACTGAAAGCCTTTCAGAAATGTTCCAGAAAAGGAAGTAGCAACTATCCATTATGCATTACAAATACATAAAGGCATCTGAACTTCTATTGCCCATTATTCATCCCCAGGCGGAAAGTTTTAAGCTGCCTTTGAAGATGTTGCAGAAGACTATCGGGAGGACCAAAGAGCTAACAGCCCCCTTCCAAAGCTTCCTTTTGGTTTCCAGTGAAGTGTTGCTTTAAGCTCACCTGTAAAGCTTGTTACGCATACCAGTCCTCTCTTTTTTTTTTTTTTCTTCCTTTCCTTGCTTTCATGGAGTGTAATAGTCTGCATAAGTTTTCATGTTCAAATACTTGTGATCTTCATTCTGTCCTGGCAGATTAACAATGCACTTGCGTTTTCACTGCCACAGTGGGGTGCGGCAGAATTTCGAACTCTTTCAGATTGAAACTAAAATGTGATCTTAATTTTTTGTTCAATTAAATTTTTCATAGCAGCTCTTGCACCTGTTGCTTCAGTTATCATTGGTTAGTTACAGTAACTAACTTTGTAGAGGGGAAAACATATGTTTAAGATAGCCTAGGGAGAATGGCAGAAATCATCACATATCTACTTAGACTGAAGGGACAGATGTTTTTCCCCAGCTATGTTTCCCTTAAGTTTTCCCCATAAAAAATTTAATACTACATGGTGGAGGGTCAAAAATAACAATTTGAGAAACTAATGTAATGCAACTGTATTGGTCTTGCTTTCATCAGGTTACGTAAATCAGTGAGCGTATAGCCAGGTTCGGCTGCATCAGATGAAGTCCTGTCATGTTCAGTTTCTAACTGATCCTGTTTGAAAGTTGGGGTGAGGCTGAGGGAGGGGAAGGAGCAGCACCGAGGAAATTGGAGAAGGCACTTGAAGAGGATATAGCTGCCCTGCCTCTTCTAATACTGCTTTTCTGAAATGTTTACTGTGAAGTAAAATCAACCCTATGCAGTTATTGAACCTTTCTTCTTTCTTGCAGGTGACCCAGTGCAATGCAGTGCTTGGGTGGGCCAGTGTGCTCTGTACATAATGATTATGACATTTGAGAAAACCATCATCATTATAGTGCTTCTTATACCTCAGTGGAAAGAGGTTTGTGTTTTTACAGCATTTTAGAGACAAATGGATTTCAGGTGGAAGCTGTAAAGCGATAGACTTCTAACAGTGTTTATTGGTTTGGCTTGAGCGTCATAACTGTCTACAGTCAATGCCGTTTGACTCTGTGGCAGTGGTATGTTCTTTTAGTTTGTTTAGAATACTGCTAATTAGACTTTCTGGCATCCGTTACCAGGAATATCCTATCATATTTTTGATAGGTTTTACATACTGCAATATATAACATTTTATTCTGTCTCCTTGTCTGAGTGCTCTGGAAGCTCCTAAATGGTGGCTCTTTTTCTTGATTCTTTTTTGCTTACAGCTACTTACCTTACTTACAGCTACTGTGTATTGCTTCTTGTCATATTTTAAAGAATTTTCTTTGCCTGACCTTGTTGATAGATCTAAACTGTAGAATTTTAGTAATTTACAATGGATTCATGAAGCCATTGCTGATGACTAGATAAATATTTATTTTGATAGTGTCTGTGCAGTTAATATTTCAAGTGATGGTGCATGGTGTTATAGCCCATTAGAGCCAGTTGGTCCCGATGTTATGCTCTGGTCTGCATTGAGAGCTCTGTCTTCCCCATAGTCTGTATTTTGTAAAACTCTGCTCTGTTTAAATTTCCTGAAGATGGAACTCAAAACATGTTCCTGGGGAGCACACAGCTCTAAATGTTCACAATGATTCTAACACAGCTATTGAGACTTCTGTAAACAAAAAGGACAGAGATGAGTTTCTCGCCAGCCCCACTTATCTGTTGTACTTTATAAGCTGTCCGAAGTGCTTTCCATTTCTATAAAGCTGTCCTTTTTTGGTTCATATGAATTATTTCTGTAGTGTTCAATGTACTAGCGTACATGAACAATTGCATTTACTAATCCAGTTACGCGCACATGTTGCCATGATCTGAACTTAATCCTTTTCTTTTCGCAGGTAGCTTTATTGAATCCTATAGAGAACCCCCAGCTGGAGCTGGCTATCGTCATGCTGATAGTTCCCTTCTTTGTTAATGTTAGTACAACTTGGATGCTTCTGAGAGATGTTTACTTGGATATCATTCTGTCATGTGTTAATTAATGTTAGTCCATAAAGCAGTGTACCTTGGTGCATAAGTTAACTTTTGAAAAGGTAGGGTGTTAAAGAATGGATAAAACACCTGGATATGTAGATTTTACAAAACTGAAATCCATATTGAGCTAAGTAACTAGGCTCAGGGGAAGTCCAGAGATGTCTCATAGACCTCTTTGGGCTGATGACTTCAGTAGGTGGAGTGTAACACAGCTAATGGTGGCTGGGCTGTGATGGAGCAGAGGAGAAGGGCAAGTGTGCCATCGTCCTTCCCAAAGTATACTCTTCCACTAACCTGGGATTTAGGGACTAGAGACAGATGGTGGGTGTCCTTGCATGCAGTAACCGCTGGTGATTTTTTTTCTTTTATTATTAATCTGTTCAAGCATGGATTTTATCTTTCGAGAACCAAAAGCCTGTATGCACTGAGATGTCTGCCTAAACCATTTCTACATGACAAGTTAATATATGATCACTCTGAATAGCAGCTAGTTCTGTTATTTTCTTCTCTTCTGCAAAGGGATAAAGTAGCTGTGTTGTAGTCAGTTGTCATTATTGTAAAGTTTTCCTAGTTCTGTCCAAATACTGACCGAATGAACATCGCTGAAAACTGAGCTGTCATTTCCCCCTTCTCTTTAACAGGCATTGATGTTCTGGGTAGTAGATAATTTTCTTATGAAGAAAGGGAAGACAAAAGCTAAACTTGAAGAAAAGGAAGCAGGACAAGATTCAAGAAATGGGAGTAAAGTCCGATACAGGAGAGCAGCATCACATGAAGAGTCAGAGTCAGAAGTATGTAGAGTTAATTATTGCAATTAATGCAAGATCAATCCAGTTCATCCCTCATGCCATTGATTTCATTGTAACACTGTCAACTTAGTTTTGATTTTCTTTGCATGTACCTCTCACAGTAGTTCCTAGCATTTGCAGGTGAAAAACAGTTCAGAAATTGTCATTGTTGCACCATTCACTGTAGTTAATTTCCTTCCAGATGGGCAGGAAGACATAGTAATATATTTAAATATCACAGGTGAACACTGTTACAGATGTTTATTAAAAAACCCCCATGGAATACAAAGCTAACAGACAATTCTAATTCAAAGCGTTTAATAGCTTGGAGTGAGAGGAAACTGGTGGAGGCAACTGGCATGGTTTTGGAGAAGCATTTACATCCTTGCCTTAGCAAAATTTTATTCTAAATTATATTAAGTGGCCAGTTTTCGGTTCACCTGTAGGATGAATAGTATCTTTGAAAGTAAGTTGTTTTCGCTTTAGTTGGTTAATGTCACTTTTCTGCGTTACAGAAAGTACTATATATCTGGGGTTTCCTTTAATAAAATGACTGCCATATTACCAGTGTGGATAAAGAGCTTATATATTCTCTCTCATTTTAATGGCAAGCTGCCCTCACTGTTCTGGAGGTGCTGGAATCACTTCTTTGGGTTTAGACTTAGTGATTGTAGTAGAGATTAGTACACATGTATGCTTCTTCAAAATTTACTGGAGGTACCAGGTAGGATACGTGAGGTTGTTTGACAGTACTGGTAATAAATCCAAATTGCATTCTGTAAGCTTTTTCTTGAGCAAATAATGAGGTGCTTTGCACAGGGTAAAAAGTAAAAGATTAGAAGTAGAATGAAGAAAAAAAGGTGTTTGTTTTGACCCACTTTACTAAAAAGCCATAATTTATTTTTTTTTAGATCCTTATTTCAGCAGATGATGAGATGGAGGAATCGGATGCTGAAGAGGACCTGCGTAGACTGACCAACTTGAAGCCCATTAAGAAAAAGAAGCATCGTTTTGGTCTGCCTGTATGACACGTTCCCTGACCTGTATATTTGCAGGTTTCGTGGTAAAAACTTCAGTCAGTGGGTTTTAACGTTGCAATTGCATCTCCCTTTTCCTATAAACTGACTTAAAAGCAGGGTCTACCAACAGAATGCAAACAGTTGGAAGACTCCCAGTTCAGTTGCACTACAGACACACTGACCAATTATGCAAGAATGTCTTTTCATCATGTGTGAAAAACAACAGCATTCGTAAGGACTCGTCACTGATGGGATTTGTATCTGACATTTCAGAGAAGATCGCAGAAAACAGATGCAGCAATCTTTCAGTTATGGTTACTGATGATAAAGTTTAAGATGTTCTCAAAAAGGCATCACAGAATCAAGTAAGTTAAAGGAGTGTGTTTTATTACTAAAACTGGCTTTCGCAGCATAATTCCTAGAGCAGAATAGTTTATGGTTACAAGCTGTAACTTAACGTTATTTTTTTAAGTACAAATGTTTACTTGCTACCGGGTACCTATGGCACTAATAGGTGGAACAAAGATTTTTTTCCAAGTCTCCTCAAATCTATTTGACTATTTTATATTTAAGTTATATTTTAATACAGTTGTATTTAAAGAGTCTCTTTGTCAGAGAAAAGGGTGCGGTTCCCTTTTTTTTTGTGCAGAACAGGTCAAAAGATTTGTAGTGAAAAACTTATTTATCCTTGTGTCCTGGTTTAAGACAAAGGGATTGCAAAGGGAAAAGCTCTCTGTCACTGCTGAAGTCACCAAATATCACTAAAAATGCAGTCCTAAGTATGCTTTTGACCACGTAATTTGAAAATACCTTTTCTAATAGAAGGTGTTGTTTGCATATTTGACAAACATGCACTTTAGCGTATAACAAAAATCTGTTGTGATATGTTAGTTGTGAAATGAGTATCTATGGATGACTCTAATTTCTGTTTCTGCAAGTCTCTTGTGCATACCTCTCAAATGACCTAAAAAAGATGGAACATTTCTTATACTTTTCCTGATAGAGGGCCTGTGGTACAGGACCGTGGTCTGATTGAAGCAGTTGTGCTACAATACTAAAAATAATTCTGTCCCTTTTTTTTTTTTTTTGGTTTGCAAAGCAATCTTCTATTTAATGTACTTTAAAAAAAATTTCTCCTGTTTAAGTCTGGTTATCCTTTGGTGTTAAAAAAAGGAGAAAACCACAACAAAAAACCCCAAGAGGTGTAATACAGAATGTTTATGATTTTTAGTGTCTTCTGATAATTGACAACACGTGCTGTTCTGCAACCTAGCAGACGTGTTTTCAGTGACATCCTTTTGCTTTGCATATTTTCTAAATGGTTATTTCCAACAGCTTTCCTTGCTTAGCTGAACCTTGTGCAGGACAAGGTGATGTGTCAAAGAAATGACAACAGACCTTAAGTTGTTGTAGTATCTGGACATCAGAAGTGTTCCAAGCCTTAAACCAAACAGTTTCGTCAGAAAACTGCTCAGAACTTTTTAAGATTTTTTACATTTTTTATAGATTTACTAGGTCTTAATGTGATTTATTATCCAGACCACTTCAGTGGGGTTCTTGGGCCTTAGTAAATACTGAACTGTGCGCTCCCGTACTTATTTTCACAAATCCAGCATTCCTTGTCACTGCTCGGCTGCTGAGGTAAACGCGGTGTTCTGAGACTTGAGGTACGCCTCAGCGTGTCCAGCCGGCTAGAAGGGACATTGTACCAGACCTAACCTTTGCCAGTTTAGTTGAACCACTGACCTCTGTTACTGTGCACTGAAATGTAATAACTGCAATAAGTTTAGGTACTAGTGTTTCTTTTAGACTAAATCTAGAAATTAATGACAACAGAAGTTAATTGAGTTATTCTGAAATGGGGGGTGGGGGGATGGTGAAATGTCCCTCATCAGTGTTGCCTCTGCTTTAGGTTTTTTGGGTTTTTTTCGGTGCTTGTGTGACTTGCATCTTCCCTTGACTATTTACCACTGGGCGGGCGCCTATCTCCAAAAGCACAGTACTTCAAGGAATTCATTTTCATCATCAGAATAGTCTCATACAGCTCACTTTTCCAAAAGGATTTAAGAGCCAGGACTGGCTCTTGTCGCAAATGTCAGCATTTACTTTTTTAGCATAGGGTTTGTTCTATTTCAGATAGTGAAATAAAGCTATTCAGCATGTGCTACATACCACTGCACAGCCATCACTGTCCTTGTCAGCCCTCAGAGGTAACTGAGCAGTGCACGCAAATTTAACTGTACGAGCTTTCAGTTTACTTTTCCCTCCTCTTCTCCAGCTACTTAAATTATCAAAATGATTTCTATTTCTAGTCTCATGTTTAGTCTGTGAAATGTCAGTATAAAATTATGGCCTTAATCATGTAATAATATTTATTTTGAGCAGACCTCAAACTTACTGACCAAGTACAAAACAGTGTACAGCACTATGGAGCAGTTTCTTGAAGATGGTTATAGCAAAGGTATATGAATGCCTAATTTTTCCTCTCTTAAGTGCTTAAATGTCACTTGGGTTGAGATTTTTGATATGCCTAGCAAGATGATGTAGTAGAGCACTATGAGCCAAAGAGACACAAGTATTTTAAATAACACAGTAGTAACAGGAGGAACATATCCTCAGATGGGAAAAAAATAGCTCTAATCTTCTCTAAGACAATAATTCTATTCACAACCTTAGCAAAACAACAAAAAAAGGGGGGGGGTGTCTTTTTGTTCTTTGTTATCATGTGAAAGAGATGGAAAATATAAAATTGGCGGTTTTCCTCTTTGTCAGATAAAAATTGGAATTCTTGCAGCAGGTACGAGCAGGACAGGTGCTCTTGTGTGAAGAGCTTGTATGTGGGAGAAGGAAGGGTATGCCTCGTGCTTCGCTATGTCGTACTGTTCATTGAAATGCATGGGCAGTGCAGCCTGAAGTAATAAATTCTTCATAAAGAGTTGATCCAGTAATAATATTACAACGTGATGAAGTTTGCATTACCCTCAAATTGGCTCTCTCAATTTATGCCTGGTAAACGTACTTCAGGACAACTCATAGCAAAGGTTTAATTCAGGCTATGCTTAAAAAAATGTGATTGTTTAATGAAAATAAGCTATGTAGTATATGCCAAAGTAAGAGAAAGGGATTGTAACTTACAGAAGAGACACAGAAGTATTGGTGGAGATCGAATTTACCACAGATGGTCAACCTAAATGTATTAACTGTTTCTAGTATCTGACCTGTAACACATCTGCATAAATTTAAAACACTGGTGTTGTCTGATACGTGGTTTTCGAGTTCTGGCTTTAATATGTTCAGGTCCCCTTGTCTTACTTAAAGTAGGTAAATGCTGTATGTTAATGTTGCTAACTAAAATGTACTATAGCTTTTCTTCAGGGAAAACTCAGTTTCTGAGTTGCAAATTAGAGCAATGCAAAGTGATGCCCTCCGGCAGGCGTCTGCTCCGATTCCAGTGGTGCCCGGGGAGGGAGGCGAGGGCTCTCGCGCTCTGTGGGGAGCAGAGCTGGGCATCGCGAGGAATTTCTGCCACTGTGCTTGACTAACCCATGTTTGCAACTTTGCCGTGCTTCGTACAAGGGAAAACGGTAATGAAAGCGAAGAAATTCAGCCACATCAAGTCCAAGCAGATCTACAGCATAGGCGTGCAAACTTTTTTAGGTGAAGTTTCCAGTTCAGTTACTGAAAATGACTACTATGGTTTTACAAAGTAAAACTGCAGTATCTTTAAAAAAGGGACTCTTTTGTAGGTGTTTTTGTCTTGCGTGGGTACCTGTCTCAAACTGAATGTTGGGTTTGTTTGTAAGTAAATTCAGAGTATAGCCTATGTGAGCAAAACAACAGCTGTATTCTGCTGCCCTCTGTTTGGACCGTGTTGTTTAATCAGTGGTGTTACCTTAAACTTTTAAGGGTATCTGATGTAATTACATTGTATAATGGTTTACAATAAAGTTTGACTTATTACAGATTTGTACACTTGTTTTATACTTGTTCTGTTTAAAAGTGTGCGTGTTTTGATGTTTATAATGTGCTGTTGTGTGGAGTAGGTTTTGCTGCTGGAGTTAAACTTCAGAACTGGCCCTCTGCACCTGCACAGGTGGAGAATAACCATCTGTATTTTCATATTGAAAAGAAAACCTTCAATGTGCAACGTGAGAACTCCCGAGACTGCAGAGCATTGACCTGAGGCCTTCTGCAGTGTGGGATGTCGTTAAAATGCCTTAACCACACAGCGGATTATCAACAGCCTGCTTTCGGCTTTTTGAGCAAAGCCAGACCTTTTGGTCGTTGGCAACAAGAACATGTAAACTTCGAAATTTCTGAATTTATCTCCAATCTCCTGCCCCTTGGCAGAGGCATGGCCTAGTTCTGTGACTTGTTAACCTGTTTAGGCTTCTGTTCCCCTGCTGATTTGTTTGCTGCAGGCAGTAGAAATGCAAGTGGAGGGAAGATGTCTGGGGATCCTGTTGAGAAGTTTTCTCGTGCCTTGTATCACAGAACTTGTGTAGCAACTCCTCGGAGGCAGAAAAGGGCAGCGGGAGGCTGTCTGGTTCTAGGACCAGGGACCTTCTCTGTCCCCCGTCTCAGAGGGCCACGTGAGGTGATTGGTGCCTTCCTTGCTTACTTCAGTCTCTGCTGCTTCCCAAAACCATGCAAAGGGGGAAGGGGGAAGCAGTACTGATTCTTTTCTGTGTGACGAAGACATCGCTCCTACACGCTGTCTACGTGGTGCAGACTTGTCTCTGAAGCTCCAGGGAAGCAGCGGCTTTAATGACCAAGTGTCTGCAGCAAGCACTTGGGCTTCTCGCACTGTAGCCAATAGAATGAGAGTAGCCTAACTTGGGCTTGTTCGGTTTTGTTGGGCGGAAAGATGCTGTCCTCCAGGTTCCCTGGAGGTATGGCATGGTATCTACCGTCCATTTGCCAGAGCACTGGAGGAAGGAGCAGGACCATGTAGGACGAGAGCTGGCTCACTGTGAAGCTGTAACATCACCAAGTGCAGCTCATTGTTTTGGTTTTGGGTTTTTTGGGGTTTTTTTTATGCTGCTAATGGCAAGAGGTTGATACTTTTATACTAGAATAGAGCAGAAATCCTGTTCTTGGTGAGCTGCTGTTGCTGTCACCCCTTCCTGTCATGGTGGGAGCAGCTTAGTGTGTTCTGCTGGGCTGGCGCTGCACAGTGTTGATCCGCTGCTACCTCTGCGACTCCCATAGTGGTTGCCCTTTACTTTCACTACTTCCCACCTGCTACGCAGAAGCAGCCCTGTGCCCGCTGCATCCTTAAAGGGAGTTCAGAGGATAACCTCAGGCCTGTCGGTCCCCTGAGGGATGTTAGCACTTTCCCGGAGATGTCGAATCTTCCGTGTGATCCGTGTCTCCTGCAGGTCACAGGGGCCAGACCTGTGTACATTCACTGACTTCTCCAGGGTCATCACCATATTTTAGCGGTTCCTCAGCAAAGGAGTTTTCCACACTTCATGTTGCAGTGGAAGATGAAAGAGAGTTAACTTGTGTTTTTCATAGCCACTCTTAAATATTTGAGGCTGTCTTGCTTCATTCTTATTCATGTCCCAGTTAACAGATCACAGCACCTTAACCAGGTGAACAGGCTTTCTACTCTGAAATGTAAGTAACTGTAGATTTAGGTTATTTATTTGTAACGAGAAATTAGCCCATGATCTGTAAGAGGAAATGGTTCTGCTTGCTGTTCAGCCCTGGTTTAGGAAATGCTTAATTAAAGAGAATTGCCGAGGCTGTGGGGGATGTCTTGGAGGCTTCAGGATATACTGCCTGCCTCTGCAGGTGCCTCAGCTACTCCCAAATGGCATAAAATCTGAAGGTGTTTTAGTTTTGTTTGTGTAATGGTTTTGTTTGTATAAATTAAATTGCTATGAAAGCGTAACTCTGTTGCTTTTGAGTGAGGAATACGTAGTACCAATTAAATGAAGCCATTTTGAAAGCTGAAGGGAAAAAATAGTTCAGTGTGTTGAATTCTAAGTATTTGATTTAAACATGCAGAACATTATTTCCTGTTGTAATAGATAGCGTCAGCATAGTGGCACTTATGGGACTGTATAGAAACATCTTAGTAGAGGAGGAGAGGTGTCACTTTGTAGACTAGAAGAAAAATCTGCTGTTTTTCCTAAAGTCGATGTTCTTTTCTGCTTTGTTAGCCTACTAAAAGGTACTGCTGTTCTGCAGAAACGTTCCTTCTGGTTTACTAAGCCGTAGGTTTAAAATAGAAATTCAGCATAAGTAATGGCTAAGTACATAACATCCAAACTGCTGCTTAACCTACAAGTAATTCCCCCAGCAGTCGCGAAAAGGAAAGCGTCTTCTCAGGCCTGGAAGTGGGTCAGCTTAAAGGCGAAGTGGGCGCCCAGAGGCCCGGGGATGCTTCTCAGCCGACAGATCCCGTAGTCCTGATCGTGTGGAGCTAGTGCTGTGGTGTTGATGTGATAAAACCCACCAATTTCATTCTACCTCCTGTGCTTCTCTCTGCAGCCTAAACAGAACACAGGCGGAGCTCGAGGAGAGGCCAGGGCAGACTTCTCCCACTCCGACGGTCGATCTTTGTAGTAAAAGATGTTTGGCGGTCTGCCGCTCTGCCTTGCCCCTGTGAACGTACCCGGCTGGAGTCTGGGCGCTTTGTAAGTGCTGAGTGCAATCACAGAAGCTGATTTTTTTTGCATTATTCAAAGAATTAATGTAAAAAAAAATATATATATAAAAAGAAGAGGGAAACAACCCCCCACCCAACCTTCTTCCAGTAATAAGAAAAACAGTGCATGCTTGGAGTTCATTTTTTTCTGTTTAATTAAAAAATTGTTTAGAGAACAAATGTCAGAAGTTCTGGAAAAGATTTTGCTACTGTCAGCAGGTAGAGTGGGGAACACTGAGTTTATTCACATCTGAGAAAGCTGTTCCTATACAGATGACAGGTGAAATGATTAAACCCACTAATACCGCTGCAAGTAGAAAGTGATTTTACTCTCTGTTGTGTAAGAGCCGGCATCAGAGCAAGCTCAGCAATAGAACTGTGAGGGTAAAACCATATCCTATTTCGTTTACTGTCCAAAACACACAGAATACTCTTCTGTTAAAGATCCCTGTGCAAAAGCGATGTAGGGAGCAATGTTATGCTTTGGATGTTAGGTTTGTATCATCTTTGGAGAATGCGTATTTTGTTATGCTGGCAAAGAAACACAAACACTCTTCCCTCCCCCCCCCAAGAGGATACATTGTGTACCTGACAAAGTTTTGCCTTTTAAAGTTGTAAGCAGAGCCTGAGCAGACCCCCCGGGCAGCCGTGTTGCGGTGGGTCGGGCTTCCCCACGGCCGCAGCTGCCTGCTCTCATCAGCCCCCGCTCTCGGCGCGGGGAATCCTGCAAGCCCCAGTCATCGCCAAGAATAAACCTCACACCAGCCACAGCCTCTGTCAGCCTGAATCACCCTCCTGCTGCTTTGGGAAAGTGACCGGGTAATGACTTCATGTTAGATGCTCTATATAAGCCGAGGAAAAAAACAGATGTTCGCAGAGTGCTCGGGCTGGATTTAATCAAAGCCGGGGAGCGACCTCGGGAGGGATTACGGTCGAGTGGGCGCCGCAGTTATGTCACAGGTACGGGGAAGTCTGCACCAAGCTGGCTCTCGGCAGAGCGGGGTGCCCGACAACTGCGTTGCTGTTTCAGGCAGTTTGCTCGGAGTAGCTCGTTAGCAAGTCACTCTCGTTAATTTGGCTTTTCTGCTCTATGTGACTTGTTTTGATTATGTTGAAGTATTTAAACGCTCTGTTTACATATTTTAACAACTAAGTTGTTAGCAGGGATTACTTGATGAAGAAGGAAAGCAGCTGCTCTCTACATGGTTAACTAATTTAGTTTTAAATGTTCTGGTTTACCATAAATATTTTTATTTCTGTAGGAAGGGGAAAAGCCATTTCCACTGCTGTGCTGTGCGATGTT